CCCAATCTATCAACCCGAGAGGTATTCAGTAGTACAGTGATGGGTGCCAGTACAAAACCCTGGATTAAATTAGACTGAGAGACAGAATACCCAGGGCTCAAAGCCGTATATTTTGTCCCTTCCAGGCACCAACACCATGTATTCGACAATTACAGCACAATATCCACCACCTGTGAAGATTTATGGCAGTTGGTTCATTTCAATGAAATTCACTGATGCTATTTTATATTCCCAGTGCTACTCCAATCAAAGGAAAGAACCAGAATACTGTATTTTATTCAAGGTAATATTTTCTCCTAATCATTTCCTAAGGCATCTGTCCCAGCCCACTTCTGCATTCTGAGTCTTGCACACATTTTGGTTACTTCAAAGACAAAGACGTTATTGGCAAATCACACAACAGTCATGCAGTGGATGTGCAGTAGACTGGCACATAATGTTTGGATGAGGACTTTTTTAAATTGTAGATTTCTTTTTCATTTGACACAACTTCAATTTACCTCACTTTTCGGTTGCAAATATTTTCTGCCCAAACTGCAATCCGTTTTTCACCAGTTCATTGCACCCAGTTTTGGCAAACACATGGCAAATTTTTATTTGTACATAATAGTTAGCATCTTTTTAGTTTTAGTCACAACGACTAATTAGACTAATTAGGGGTGCAATCAGTAAAGAATTAAAAGACAGTAGCACAATTAAAGCCAACCAGCCTGGGTGTTACCAAAAATAGGTCTTGCCAAACAACGAGATATTGTTTTATGATGAGGTGACGAGTTTTGTTGATAAAGGTAACTGTGTCGATATAATATACATAGACTTCTGTCAGGCACTTGACTGAGTCCCATTCTGACCCTTGTGCTGTTCTGAAAAAAAAAATAGCACGATACAAAGTCAATGCATAACATATTAAAATGGATGAAAAACTAGTTAACTGATAAAATGTAAAAAGTAATTGTAAATGAGGAATCACCATCTAAATAGGGGTATTTTGAGTGACGACCTGCAGGGATTGTTCTCAATCCAATGCTCTTCCAAATCACTGATAAAGATATTGGAAAAAAAAGAATTGAAAAGTCCCCATCCAAACACAGGATAGCAGAAAAAAGGCATAAAGAGATCCAGTGCTGGGGAGCTGAAGATAGATCAATTCAAACTAGAAATAACACGTACATTTTTAACAGTGAGTGTAATTAACCATTACAACAACTTACTTAGGGACATAGACTCAGACTCTAATGTCGGAAGGGAGCATCGTGATCATCTAGTCTGCAGGCCACAGAACCTCGCCCACCCGCTCCTGTAATACGCCCATAACCTCTGGCTGAGTTACTGAAGTCCTTGAATCAAAAGGTGGCTCCTCCATCACTTGCAGTCCTTAAATCAAGACTGGAGATCTTTCTAAAGCTCAAACAGAAGTTACAGTCTTAATGCAGAAATTACTGGGCAAGGTTCTTTGGCCTGTGCTATACAGGAGGTCAGGCTAGATGATGATAATGGTCTCATCTGGCCTTAATCTATGAACCTATGCAATTAAAGCAAGGGCCAAATTTTGCCCACATCTAGACTGGTGTCAATCCAGAGTAACTTCACAAAAGCTAATGGATGCACTCTGGATTTACATGGGTGTAAGTGAGGTAAGAATATGGCTGAGACTTGTAATTTTTCCTTCCCATGAGAGAACAGGCTAGATGCGACAGGGGGCAGTTAATCCCAGTGTGACACAGAAAGAGTTTAGTCCAAAAGGCTGGGTTGGTTTGGAAGTCTATTAAGCATGAGTGAGAAGTTCATGGTGTACACACAGAGAAGTCAGATTAAAAAAAAATTAAAAAAATCTTGTTGGAAGATTGCAATGTAGCAAGGCTCTGTCTTAGAATTCAGAACCCTAACACGAGAACTCCCAGAGAGAGAGACAAAGCAGGCTGCTCCCTAAAGCAGAGAGGCACAACTCAATCCACCTTACTGTAGGCTGGTTCTTTGAAGAGCTGACCTTGATCGCATGCTTCCCTACAGAGCCCTCTTGCCTGCAAGCAGGACCAGGAACTCCCTCCCCACTTCTGCCCCTGCTCTCTCAAAGTGATAGCTTGCAATTCCAGCACAGTCCTCAATACACCACAATGAGGTTATGAAGTCTTTAGAGTTATTCCAGTGATATATTTGCCCCATAAATTGGAACCCTGCCTTCTTTGTTTCCTCACCAGCAGGTTTCCATTTGAATCAGGCCAATAGCCTGCTGGCAATAGGTATTTTGGCTAAGAACTTTCAGACAGGTTGACATTTATGAAGAGTTTGGGTAGACAAGTCTGACTTTGTTCCTCTGCACCATGATAACCTGTCAGAGCTCATCTAACACAGAGGGAAGACTTTCTCTGCAGAGCTGCATGGGGCCAGAAGCAGATTCTTTTCTTTATGAAGCTACACAGGGGTCAGGTGAGCATGACAAAGAGGGAGAGTGGCAGCAGATTGCTTGAGCACAGAGGACTCCTTCCGCCAGGATTTCCAGTGAGTCCCTTGATGGAAACAAGCAGTCTCCTCAGAACCATCCTCCCACTCTGTGTCCAATTGGAAAGAAAGGAGGCAGGTTCCTAAGCAAAGGAGTTCAGATTTTCTCTTCTAACAGCCGGAGTAAAGCTGTGGTCTAGTGGCTAGGGAACAGGCATGGCATTAAGGAAACCTGGGTTTTATTCCTGGTTCTGATCTCTTGTGTGATCGCAGGCAAGTCACTTTAATCGCTCTGTGCCTCAGTTTCCCCCTATTTAAAAGGGAGATAAAGATACTTCACTTCATTTGTAAAGATCTAGGAATTAACAGAGCAAGGCCGTAGTCACCAAAGACCCAGCCAGAGAGTGCTGAAAATGTCTTCTCTCCAAAATCCCTTCCATTCCAATCACAGAGATGGCAACTCCGTGGGACAAGACACAATAAAACGATATCAACCAATAGCAGGAGCTACAGTAAAACACAGTCAGGGGCCTGATGCTGCCCTCATTCGCAGTGCTGTGAAATAGCAGTAACGTTGCTGGAGTCATGCTACTGGATTTTTCAAAAAGTGTGTGGCCTTGGCATGCAGGGGTTGCTTGCCAAGCTCAGGCTCTCACAGAGCATAATGAAAGAACAACAACAACAACAACATTTGCACTAAAACCCTCCTGGCAGCCCAGCTCCAAATCTGCTCTCTGGCGATTCTCTCACGGCATTGGCATTTATCCTTTTAATCTACTTGAGACAATAAAATAAAACTCTGGCCATGAACTGATTCCCCGTCAGCAACCAGGTGGAACTTAAGCTGAAGAAAGAAAAGAAAAAAAATCCTCTAGTGCCAGGTTGCAAGTTCCAGTCTTCATAGAATTAAAGGTCAACGGGTGACGTTGCTCCTGCCCCAACTTCCTGATCCTTTTCGGCTGGAAATGCAGTGCCTGGGAGTGGCTGGACAAGGATGTGCCCGATCACAGTGCTAACTCCCAGCATGTCCAGTTCCCCTCGGAAGGCTGCAGGGAAAGGGAAGCTGCTACTATTCCCACAGACCCTTGTTTGTTTTTAATTGTAAATGAAACCTCCATTGCTATATCCCATGCGCTCTGAAGAGGAGAGAGATGAGCAAAGCAGGGGAAACAATGAGGAAATGGGCCGAGGGTTGCCCAGGTGCTGTGGCTGCTGCGGGTTTGCATAGGCTGTACCTGCAGCAGTGACCCAGGATCATTACATAGAATTGGATCCTCCCCATTGTTCCACGGAAGGAAGAAAACATGGGCTAAGCTTGCTGAAGAAACTGAGCCGAGCCCAAAGCTGAGCTCCTGGTATCCAACCCACAGTGTCTCCATGTGTTTATTGCCTAGTGGGTTGGGGGAGCAGGGTCATGATTGCCTGGAGGGAGGCGGAGTTGGGCAGCATCTGCTCTATGAGGCATGATCTCCGAGTGTCCTAGCAAACTGCAGAACGTCTGCATGTTTTCCCTTCAAAAATTAATACTGTGGTGGGGAGAAAAAGCTGTAGCCTTGGACAGGGAACCAGTGGCATCACAATCAGGTAGCATCTCCAGAAGAGAGATGAAAAGTCCTCTCTCCTATTTGTCTAGCTTCTAATTTTATAGGGAATGTAGACGCTAATGAAAGCGAGGGGTTAATAGGGCTGGATAAAACCAGGCATAGTGAATGCATGTTCTATGCAACCTTTCCCTACCCCTCTGCCATTTCACCTCAGTTCTGACCTGCAGCTATTTCAGGCCCCTTTCAGATCTGAGCAGTGGTGCTTCTTTATACCAAAGTGTTGTGCACAAATAGGGACAAAGATGAAATCACCAACCTCACTAAGTAGGGTGACCATATGTCCCGTTTGGGCCGGGACAGTCCCTTTTTTAAGCCCTGTCCCAGCTGTCCTGACTTTTTTTTCCAAAAGGAGGCATTGGTCCCGTTTGCGATGCCAGCCCCCCGCAGGAGGGGAGGCAGGGCTGGGAAGGGAGGCAGCATTGCAGTATTAGGGGGGCAGGGCTGCAGAGTTCCAGCGCTGGGCAACAGCCTCCTGAGGGGGCCCCCACAGGGTTCCAGCAACAGGCAACAGCTTCACGCAAAGAGGGTGTGGGGGGGCTGCAGGATTTCAGCCACGGGCAAACAGCCTCACAGGGGGGGAAGAGGGCTGCGGCGGGTCCTGTTTTCTCTTTGGGAAATATGGTCACCCTGTCACTAAGGAACATTTGCATCCAGTCTCCAGAGGTGAAAGGCTGGGGTGCTAAACTGGCCTTACTAACCCTAGAGAGAAGTCACATGCCTCACATTTTTGGAACAGCATCCTTTGTTCCTTCATGTTCCTTCACAATATACATGGGTAAATAGGGAAGATGTTAGAAAGACTAGGAATCAAACATGTGCCTAATCAAATCAGCCACTGCTGAGGGAAATCAGCATGTCTGAAAGCATTATGGCCAACCGCAAATATTCAGAAATAATTTGATGAGATTTACAAATAAATAAATAAATAAATAAATGTAGCACTCTTTTTATTTGCCTTCTGGATTTTGAGCCTTTAAGTTGTACTTGGGTCACATTTTCATGATTTCCTCTGCAACCATGTGGGCTAGAAGCTTAAGAAAGCAAGCTAGCGGAGATTCTCACATAAACACTGGTCTCCAGGAATTGGGACTTTAAATAAAACCGCAAATATCGCAGGACTTGCAGTCAAATCGTGAGAATTAGCAAAGGTGTTAGAATCTGATACATTTCACAGGACTGGCTTTTTTTTTTTTTTTTTAAAGGCCGTTTAAAAAACATTAGACTGTTTACAATTGATATGATCCAATCCTTACTGTGTTTCTGTTTTTAACCTTTGGCGATTGCCCTTTAGCTCTGTTCAACACAGTTAATGCTACTAGGGGTGAGATGCTGCCACGGAGATTAGGTGAGAAGTGCAGTTCTTTCAGATCCGGTCCAAGCTGAAGAAGCTGATGGCACCGAGTCGCTATAGGCGGCACGCACATTTGCTAGGCTTCACTCTTTTAGAATCTGGATCTGCTTTTTGATTTGAGTCCAAGAGCTGAAAATGTGGTTTGGTGGGCTGTGCCAAACCACAAAACAGTTCCTCAATGTGTGAGTCATCTCAGAGCTGAAGCAAAGTCAGAGAAGAAAGAAAGAAATGGCATAATGCAATATATGGGGTTTTTTTCCTTCTGTGTTCTTGCTTTCTTTGGTAAGGATAGATGAGATGTGCTGCAAACAACCCCCCTCTCTCCAACCCTTTCAGCGCTCTCAAACCAGTCACACCCAGCCTCCTGTTCGGGATTCTGGGTAATGTGGTCCACCGCACATATCCTGCATTATGAAATATTGTAATTGAGCGACCAGGGCAGGACAATCAAAGCATCATGTGCACATATGACTACATTGCAGAAAGGCATTATGAGCTGGCAATTAGGGGAGCATACGGGAAGTCAGGACTTACGGCCTCTGTTCCTGGCTCTTTTACTGACTTGCTCAGTGACTTTGGGCAAGTTATTTACCTTGGTTTTCCCAGTCCCCCCTCCCTCCCCCCCTTTTTTTTTAAAGAGATAATATCACCTACCTCTGGGGTGATGTGAAGCTTATTTAATGAATATCTGAAAATCACTTGGAGAGCTTTGGATGAAAGAAGTTCAAAGTATCATTGCTCTAGAAAGAAAAAAATAATTGAATGTCAAATAAACCATAATAAAAGACCATGTCAAGTGGGTCTAGACAAGGCTGGAAGAGAAGAAAGGGTTAATGAGCTGAGGGGCACTACCAAAGGAGCATGACTATTTCTCAGAATCATTGCAGAAATCATGCTTCTTTATAGAAGGGGAAACCCTTTGGAAGGCATGGCTGGTTCTAATAAAAAATAAGCCCATTTTAAGGTTCCAATTCACAGAAGTGTCCCTATTCAAGAAGGAGGCTTAAGTGTTTGTCTAAAAAGCTAAGAATGTGCTTAAGCGCTTTCCTGAATCCTAGGCTAAGCTTTCACTATGGTTACATTTTCACTGCAGCGCTGGAGCGAGGGGAGTCTCTGATTTACAGGACTATGGGCTAGAAAAAGACATTTGCAAAGTGAACACGATGCTAAACAGTTATTGGAGGGCTCCATTCATTCAGTGAGAACATTCCCCTTAATCCTCAGTGACTGGTAAGTCTTTCACCATTGTCCTCAAGAACCTGATCACTGACTGCATGTGCATTCTGCCTACCGAAGGCCACGCTGGCATTGCTGCGAGGGGCGGGGAAGCCTGAAATCCCATCTTTTCTGACACTGCTACATTTTTGGCTCTGCCACAATGGTGGCCAGGTCCCACGTGCTGCTTTCAAATCAATGCCGCTCACCAGCCAGTCCGAGAGGTCTGCATCCTCGCCTTCACAGAGCTGACAGCCTGCAGAGTTCCAGCCAGGGGAAGAAACTCATTTAATATTACACTGCAGGGCTGAGCAGGGAACTGATGTCCAGTAGAATACGGAGAAAAGGAGAGCCCTACAGAACAAGATCTAGTATCAAAGCACCTTGGAATGGGCAACGAACTCTTCCTTTCCCATTCAAGCTTTGTGCTCAAGAGTGTATGGATGTGCAGCAGCAAATAAATAAACTATTCGGTTTTTGTATTGCACTGGTGCCTAAAGGCCCAGAATGAGACTCCCGCCTCACTGTGCCAGGCATTGTACAGATATATAGCAAGAGACAGTCCCTGCCCTAAGGGTCTGACAGTCTAATTTGGATTGAGCTCCATTAGAAACATTTTTCTGGAAGCAACTGGAACCACAGAAGAGCATCACTCACTTCCAAAACAACGTTTGTACTGGAGTGCAAGGGAGATGCAGATCAGACTTGCCTTTCTCCCTTTAATCACCTGTTTTAAGCCAGCGGATAATTCCCACTGGACAAGTAGACACTTGGGAGACAAAGGCAGCCAGCCCTATGTAAGGCCTACAGTGACTGGCAGCTGCAGAAAGTCAGGCTGCCTATGACAGTTCCTTGGGAGGCTGTGGGTTAAAAAGGGCCCTGAGGCACCATTTGGGCAGCACAGTTTTCACTAGCTCTACAAATATGCACTATTCTTTGCATTGTCAAATCCATTTCTCCCAATAAATTTGCTTTGACATGACTATCAATTATACCCGGGGTTCTCAAACTGGGAGTCGGGACCTCTCAGGGGGTCACGAGGTTATTACATGGGGGGTCGCGAACTGTCAGCCTCCACCCCAAACCCACTTTGCCTCCAGCATTTATAATGGTGTTAAATATATAAATATATATATAAAAAAGTGTTATAACTCATAAGAGGGGGTTGCACTCAGAGGCGTGCCATGTGAAAGAGATCACCAGTACAAAAGCTTGAGACCCACTGAATTATACCTCAGATAATTCAGGCTGTCCTTTGTTGGTTAACTGCTCATCTTCACATGACCTAGCTCTAGAGCAGGGGGTGGTCAAACTTAATGACTCAAGCTGTGCGGGGGCCGGGGGGGGTTGAACCTTTAAATTGTCATCCCCTCCACAGCAGGCACCAGTCGTCTCTGGCAGAAGTCCCTAGCCCCCTAGTGCCCCCCCCTCGCCACAGGGCAGAAGGTCCCCTCTCCCCCCCCCGGTCTGGTAGGCAAAGAATGGGGGTGGGGGGGACTCCGGGAGCCACGCTTTAACTTTGTGAGCCACTGTTTGGCCACCCCTGCTCTATAGCATCGGTCTGTGTGAGGGAGACTGCTCTACTCACCGCTCAGTGGTGCCTCCTGGTGGCTCATCTGAGGAACGAGCTCTGTCACCTGGTGGGACGCCCCTTCCTAGGGTTACTCAGTCCCTCATTCCAGTCACTCCTCCGTGGCCTCTCATGCTCCTGCAGCTGCAGCACTCTCCTCTTCAGAGCTTAGCCCTCCCCCCTTCTGGGGTATCGCAAGTCCTTTGAGGCAAACTGTCCCAGGCGGCCCCCTCCCCACTATTTGGTCTGTGCCACTCCCCCACTGGCTGGTAAGGGAATCCAGGCCTGCCCTCAACACCAGCTTCCAGTCCAGGGACCCTCAACCCAGCAGCTCTGGGCTTTTACACTCCCAGCCCTTACTGCTCCTTCCCTGGCTTGCGTCCTACTCTGTCTTTGCGGCTTCCTGCTCTTCCCCCTGCATCAGCAAGTGCAGGTTTCCCCCACGCTGCCAACTTCTTCTCTTTACAGATCCTGCCCCGATCCTCCCCCCAGCTGGACTTCATCTGCAATTAGGCCCGAACATGCCCTAGGTTTCCTCCAGGTGCAGTCTCAGGTTAATTGGCCTAATTTACCCCTTCAGGTCTAGGTGGACACTCCACCACAGTGTATAACAAAACAATCAATTGTCTCCTCTGGCATCTGGTTTCTTCTAAAGAAAAATGGGACATACGTGCATGGATCACAACATTCTTACAATTTTTGAATCGTTTTGCCTAGCAGTTTGCAGTTTCCCGCCTCATGCTCCCAGTGGAATGTATTGTAGATTTCCAGTGCCCCTGGGCAGGCCATAGGTAACAGTGTGGCGGATTTCACCCTCTCTGGTTTCTCTGCAATGCCACCTGCTTTCCGAAAAAAATTAGGAATGCTGCAACTAGCCCTCCTAGTTTTACACCAGGCTCCCTTCCAGGTGGCTTCATTTACTCCATGTTTGCCAAAAATCCAGTTGTCTCCTGACACCATGTAATAAAGGCGAGACACACACAGGAGTGCTGGCAAGAGACAGCTCTTTATTTTCTGGCCTCTGTCACGTAACATGGGTCACTGTTACAAAAGGTTCTACCTGTGTCACATGGCAGGGGTCGCTAGCCATCAATTCCAATGGCTACAATTACATGTTTGATCCTAACTCTATCTGGTTAATGTATTGTTGGGATTTAAGCTGTCAAGCGAAGAGTCCTCTCGATATTTTCTTTGCTCTCCCGCAGTGTCTGCTTTGTATAATGACGGAGGATCACACCAGTCTATCTGCATGTCAGGCAACTATTCCACTAAGTACTAACTGTATTGTTCTAAATCTCTCACGTTTCTTCAGTAAAATTCAATTTACTTTTTGTTACGAGAATCGCTTGCCTGATTGTCCAGGACTCAACACACTCTCTCTCTCTTGCTCTTCCCATCTTTTCAAAAGGAAAAGCTCACAGATCTCCCAGCTTTAACCAGCTAATGTGGAGGGAGCTTGTTGTTTTTAGGTTGCATATTTGTGTAAGAGAACTTTGGCATGGCAATGTATTACGGGGGGGGGGGAGAGGGAGAGAGAGAGCACTCAGAATTGAAGGGTGCAGAGAGACAGTCTCTCTGGTCTTGATTTTGTATGCACCTTAGCAAAGTAAAGCTATGCAAAGGCACAGTTCTGTATATGAGGAATGCATATAATATCTATCTATATCTAGAGATATTACACACACACACACACACACACACACACACACACAGAGGTGCGCCAATATACCACCAACCTTAAACTGTGGCTCTCCTCTGAAAAGTAACTTTGTAAAGCTGGCATCTTCTTACTCAACAGATCTTCTGCCTTGGGCTTTCTCATTTAAATAGCCTGCATTCTGTTGCATGATGTTCTTTGGGATGCCTCTGACTGGGAATGCTCCAGCCCCCAGGCCATGAGAAATTTAGATGCAAAAGTTCTCAAGGCACAGCAGAGAGGCTGTTGGGACCCTCTGATGCAGGATCTTCAAAGGGAGAGGAAAGGCAGCAGAGAGAGAGGGATTCAAGGGCCAGTCTCTCAGCCCCAGTTTAGAAGTAGTAGAAACATGTCTGGGGTTGCCTAGGGGACTTGGATGCCTGATCCCCATTCTTTTTAATAGGAATTTGGCATCCAAATTAATAGGAATTTTCAAAATCGTAGGTGGTTTTAAAAATCTCAGCCAGGGGGCTTAAGTGACTCGACCAAGGTCAGATAGGAAGCCTGTGGCAGAGCCAGGACTAGAATCCACATCTTCCAGCGCCCCAGCCCGGGATTTGGCCACAATACCATTCTGGGCCTACATACACAAGTGCATCAGTGAGAGACTGATATGCAGTAGTCATAACTCTGATTTTCCCACTGGGATGGTGTTATAAAATGTAATGTTTGTTTAAATCAATTTCAGTACATGTCCTCGTTCTGACGGACAGGTGCAGAGCCCATGGTTGGGGGCACATGCTCAGGAAAGGACAGGAGAGAGTTAATTAGAGGTTTCTGTGCCTCTCAGATGAGATGTGAGATTTACTAATAGAAGGAGATGTGTGGTAATGAGATCCCAAGTGGACTGCAGCTAGATCGAAAGCATTTGATGAAGCTTGACAGGCTTCATGTTTCTCAGTGAGATGTACACGGACTGGGTGTTGAGCGGTGTGTATGTTCGGGAGGGTCTGTGAACCGTAGAGCCAAACACAGTACAGCCACGAACAGAGTAAGCAGACCTACCGCCCTTCCCCCGGGTCACAGGATCCACGCCTGTGGGGAAAGGGGAAGTCATTCAGAACCAAAGCGCAAATGGCTCATTCCTGGAGTAGTGTGAGGAGGTACCAAACTCCACTGCTGCTGTATGGAATTAGTGAGAGAATCCAAACACCAGTAGGGCTGGGACGACAGCAGCATGGCCATGGCTAGGACTCCTGCCGCCCCACTGGGGCTGCTTCCTCTGTATGTTTCCAGATCCTCTTGAACAGGAAGATTTT